AAAAAATATATTTCTTTAAAAAAATTAAATATTTTAGTCACATAAAAGTTGCTGGCATCCTATGAGTTAATAATACTTTGCACAGTTATTATATAGTTTATTAATACTCTAATGATAATAAAATCTTTAACGTGATTGTACAATATACAACGTTCTTAATTCTTAATAATTCTTCGATGATTTTATGATTTTCTATACAGAAGTTGCATCATAATCAATTAAAATATTTTTTCGATACTCCGTGCGCAAAGTGCGTGTTTCCCGCATGCTCGGCAGAAAACGTGCGTTGAAAATCGCACTTTCCACACGTCGTATCAAAAAATACGGTACGGCACATGTTCGGGGAGGAGTTTCTTGTCTCGTGAACCTTTCCACCCTCGCTTCGCTCGGGCGTAAACGCCACACGAGACAAGAATCTACTTTCCCGCACTTGTATCGTAATGTACTATTTCGACACTCCGTGCGGGAAGTGCGTTTTTCCCGCACGCTCGGCAAAAAAACGCCCGTTGAAAATCGCACTTTCCACACGTCGTATCAAAAAATACGTTACGGCACATGTTTGGGAAAGAGTTTCTCGCCCCGTGTACCTTTCCACCCTCGCTTTGCTCGGGCGTAAACGCCACACGAGACAAGAATCTATTTTCCCGCACTTGTCTCATAATGTACTATTTTTATTAATATTTATATCAAGGATATAACCAATAATCATAACCTAAAAATGTGTCCAGTATTGGTTGGGAGTAGTAGTAGTAGTCGTAGTAGTATTTATTGCTCATGTATAGTCTTCACGGCCTTTTACAAAATTTTCCTTTTACAATATCTCTTAAATTCTAAAACGTTTAAAAACTACCTTCGCGCAACCGCTTCGCTATAATATAATTCGCTTTAACAATATAAATATTTACATATGTATACCTTCCCTCTCTCTTATTTGCTCTTTATCTTACTACCTCTGTTCTTATTCAGGATGCTCACTATCTCTCCTCGATTTAACCAATTTCTCGAAAATAAATACATAGAAAATAATTACAAATGGCTCTATTAGAACTCCCTTCTAATATTTCAATCAATTTATTGTTGTTTTCCCTTCCCCCACCAGTAATTTTCTGCTCCTCAAGCCCCCTTACCCATCTACCCCTATTTCCTCTTTTGCTCTCCTACATTCTAGCATATATTCCAAGCTCTCTTCTTTCCTTCCACAGAATCTGCACTCACTTTCTTTATACCCTTTCGCCCGTTTTCTGCCTTCGTTCCCGCATCTTATTCTCGCCCATTATTCTTTTATCCATCCCGGAATCTTCCTGTCCCTCCAATAAGTCTCTTCCCCCACCGTCTCTTTCAGTTTTTTATAAAGTTCGCTATATGTTGATCCGTCTATTTTGCTCCACAGGCTTTGTAGTTCTTGTTCTGCTTTTCTTTCTATCCCTCTCTCTATTTTGCCCTTTATTTTTTCTACTTCTTTTTTGTCCCATACCATTTTTAGAATTTCCCCATCCACTACTCCTTCCAATAGCATTAGTACCTTCTTTCCTCATTTAATCGGATTCTTATTTAGTATGCTCCTCATATCCTCCCTCAAACAAATTTTTAGCCATCTATTTTTCTATTTTTCCTATCTCAACCAAATACTCCATTGCCCTCTTAGCTGTCAGCAACTCTACCGATACCGTACCTACTTCCATCGCAACTATATAATTTGGCGTGTTACTATTTAATCCAATGGCCATTTTTATAAATTTCTTTTATACCTTCTCAAGATTTTCCCATTTCTGCCACCCTTAAATCACTACCCCATATAAACATCCCACTTTTATTATACTGTCCATTAGATATAGCCTTTTCCTTAGATTTTCTATTTTTGCCCCTTTTAGAATACCCCACACCACATTAATTGCCCTACTTGCTTTCTCTGCTATTTAATTTATATGTGTCGTATTCACATTTTTTTGAGTAAACCAGTACCCTAAGTATTTGAATTCCCTAACTACCTCCACTTTTCTGCCTTTGTATGAGAAGACTCTCTCTTTACTTATTTTTCTTTCACAACAAATCATTATCTTAGTTTTTTCTGTATTAACTTCCATTCCTATTCCATCACTGTAAATCTCTGTTTCTTTCAACATTTCCCTCATTCCTTCCTCATTATCCGCCACAATTACAATATCATCCGCGAACTTTAAACAATAGAATTTTTTCCCTCCCACTACCGTTCCTCCTATTTCTTTCTTTTCACAAATATCATTCATATCGTCCATGAATAAACAGAATAGGTTATGGCTCAATGGGCACCCCTACCTTACCCCCTGGTGCGTCTCGAAACTCTCTGATAACCCCTCACTAGCTATTACCTGATTCCTTGTTGATTTGTAAATTGTTTTTATCATCTGCAGCATTTTCCCGTTTATCCCCTTCTTTTGTAATATTTAATCCCTGTTTATTCTACGGATTTTTGAAATCAATGAATCCTAAATACAATTTCTCTCCTTTTCTTTTTAGCTTATTGCCTATAGTCGAGTTCAATACAAAAATGTGCTCTCTCGTCCCTCTTTTCCCTCTGAATCCTTCTTGACTTTCCCTATATACCTTATTGCTCTCTGCCCATTCACTAATTCTTCCGGCCATTATTTTCGCCATTAATTTATAGCTTACGTCTAGCAGCTATACCCCCTATAATTTCAAGCTTCCTCCTCCTCACCACTTTTAAATATTGGATAAACTCGTGCTATTTCCCATCCCTCTAAAATCTCGCTCCTGTCCCACAATTTATTGAAAATTTCTACTATTATTTTTATCCAAATATCCGGTAGTCCCTTTATAAATTCAATGGAGAGTCCGTTCTGTCCCGCTGCTTTTCGGTTTTTCATTTGTTTCAAGGCATCTCTAAATTCTTTCTCACTTATCCTCCTATTTAGCATGTCCTCAACCTCTCCCTCTTCTGTCTCCTCGTTCGCTTCTTTCACCTGGTTCGCGCTTCCCCTCTCATTCTCGTTCTCCCCCTCCTTCATGCTTCCCACTTTGTTCGCGTTCCTCCTCCCTTCCCCTGTTGCTCCTAGTAAATTCTTAAAGTGTTCGGTCCACTCTTCTCTTTTAATTGTTTCCCCCTTTCTGCTTCTCTTCGGGCTTTCTTTATTTACTATCCTACAGAACTCCCCCATATCCCTGCTCGTTGCCATGACTTTGATTTTTTTTTGTCTTTCTTACTATTCTCGCTATCATCTCTTTTAATTTGTTTTTCTTTCGTTTCTAGAACTCTCTCTTCTCTACCGTTCTGTCTGCTCTCCATATATTCAACTCTTCCCATACTCTCTTTTTTTGCATCCTTATCTCATTATCTTTGTTTCTACTCGACCTCCCCCCCCTTCCGCTACAATTCATTTTCAATTCTTCAGCTGTTACTTTTATTTTCATTACCAAATGATTCCACTTATTCTGCAGTGATTTGCCCCTCAGTTCTTCTATCCTCCACTTTTACCCTATCAAAACCTCATTTTCCTCTGCTTTTTCTTTCCTTCACCTTTTAAGGACGGGACTGGTCGATATATCGACCACCAATTTTGTCAGGCACTCCACGTGACATTTTCTTTCATTTTATGCACAAATATTGTGCAAAAAAAAGTCAAATTTTAACGTAAAAATCCCCGTCCTTAAAAGGTTCATATAAGTCTTTCTCTAGCCTCTCCTTCCCCTTCCTCCTCCCTTTTTTCACTTTTCCCCAATTTGAAAATTACTGGTAAGTGGTCAGATTCTATCCGTGTTACTATTTTTATCCCCGTCACTATCTTTGTCAGCCCAATTCCTCCTTCTATTACCAAATCGAGGACCGATGAGCCCGCATCCCCAATAAAAGTAATCCTCCCCCTTTCGTCTCCGTTGATACATCCGTTTTTTACTTCCGCGTTACAGTACTTCAGGCTTTTTATCAGTTTTATTCTCTCCTGCGTAATTTTTTTATCCTCCGAATTCCTCTTTCTGCCCTTACTTATCTGTTCGCTTCCCGCCCTTACATTGAAATCCCCTGCTATAATAAATTTCTTCCCTTCAACTAAACTCACCTCTATTACCCTTTTTAATTTGCTGATCATTCTGCTCGTTTTCGCGTTGTTATAATTCGTTATAACATCAATTTTTTCTTTCTCCATCCAAATATTCCTTATTACTATTCCATATTTCCATTCTTCTATCTCTGCGTTTTTACCTATCTCTTTCTTAATCCCCCCCCCCCCCACCACCACTAGTTCGCCCTCTATTCACTTTGATCGCCGCCTTCATTTTGTTCACTTTTATAATTAAATTTATTTCTTTACTTTTTTCAACCCACGTCTCCTATAATAAAATAATCTCAAACTTGTTTAAAAAATCTTTGCATTTTAATATATTTTTACTCCCCACTACATTCCATGATACGCACTTATAACCTACCCCTCGTTGTTCGCCGATCTCTCCGCTCGTCGTTGCTTCTCTCATTCTCCCCTCCATCGTTTTATCATCTTCCTGGATCTCCAAGCTGCCGTGTTCCTCTTCTTCAATTACTGCTTCTTCATTCGTTCTGAAACCTGTCGTTGAACTGTTCCATGATTGCCCGCCGTGGTATCTCTCTCCGTTCCCACTGCTCCTCTTCTTATCTTCTGCCCTGAAAAAACATTCTCTCTTTTGCCTCTACGAGACCCCCTCTTTTTTCGTCCCATAAGCTCATTTTTCCGTTGATTCTTATTTTTAGGTAGTCCACCTGCATTTGTTTTTGTTTTTTCTTTTCTGGATCTGCTACCACCTCAATTCATTATGCATTTCTAATTCTCTGCGTTCTCTATCTTCCTCTACACTAATTTCTATTTTTTCACAAATTTCCGCCTGTTCTATAAACGCCATTTTTTCTCCAAAGTTTTCAAATGTCAAAAGTAGTCCTCCTCTCAACGGCCGGATCCTTCTTATTTCAAACTGCCTTCTTGTAGTTCCTATTATTATTTCTTCTGCTTCTTCCTTCCATCTTCTTCCCGATGTCCTCATTCCTCTGATAAACACATATTTTTCCTATCCCTCCTATCTTTCATCTCAAACTCGTATTCCGATTTTTTCATCGCGTCCGGCTTATTCACTTCCAGCTCTCTCTTTTCCTCCACGCCGTTCTTGTCCGCGTTTACTTGTTGTTCTTCGTATGCTCGTTGTGCCGCATCTTCTTCTTGCCTTTCGCTGCTCTTGTTTTCTGCGCTCTCGTTCGCCTGCTTTCCTTCCTCCCTCCTACACTTGCCACATCTAACCATTTTTCCTATTTCCTCCTTCAACCTCTCTTTTTGTTCTCTCTCCTTTTCTCCCATTTGTTTTATCAATTCTGATATTTTTCTAACCAACTTCTCCACTGCCAGTCTTATCGTTTCTTTCGCCATTTCTACTGCTTGAGCATCAATTCTTCTTTGCTCTTCCATCTCCCCCATTCTAACCTGTATTTTCTTCAATTTCTCTCCTACTCTGCTTCTCTCATCCTCGCTTGTGTCCGTGCTCTTGTCAGCATTTACATCCGTCCCTCGGTCTTCTATTCTCCTTGCTTGATTTTCTTCCTTATCGGCCTCACCTTCTTTACCATTCAGCTCCTGTGCATCTTTTACCTCCAGCTCCTTTCGTATTTCCTCACTTTTGTCTTTCGCCAAATTCTCTTCTCGCCTTCCCTCACCATCCTTCTCCTTCCCCACCTCATCATGTTCGTTTTCCTCTGCTGTCTCGTCATCGTCGGCCTCTATTTCTTCTGCCTGCTCAATTATTTCACTGTGATTTTTCCCTACGCTACCGTATGACCTTTCATCTGGCTTCCTCGGTGGTGTATGTACTAATTTGACACTTTTTGCAAAACCTATTTCCCTACTATCTTTCTTCCTTTGCATGAACTTTCTGATATCCTTTTTCCCACTGTTTTCCTTCTTCTCGTTTTCTACTTTGTTTGGTCTGCCCCGGCCCTGCATTGTTCACTCTTCCTCTCCACTATTCGTCTCCTCCTTCCTGCTCGCTACCGCCATAACCACACTTTTGCTAATCTTCGTACTTTTACTCATTTTCTTCTTACTTGCCCTTAACTTACAATTCTTTATCACTCCTTCGCAACCTACCCACTCGCTCGTCCTGGTGTCCACTTTTCGATTGTTTATTCTCTCCTTTATCTCAATATCACCACCTGAATTGCTATCTTATACCACACACGTCTTTCCCGTCCAAGCTCTCGACCGGAAGTCCCTATTGGTTGGCAGTATTAAAAAGAAAGAAAAGCAGTGAACAGTTCTTTTGTTAATTTTTATTTTCCTAAACCTATAATATACTTCTCATAACTAAAAACAGTTGATAATGGTTTTTTTATTGGATCGACGATCGATTAACCATTAATCCACATAATATAGATGAAATTAATAGTTAGCGTTACGTAAGCTGTTTGACATTTTGAAAGAATTCAAATTTGAAAACTAAATTTGAGATAGGAATAAGGTGATAAGGCATGAATATATTTACTTTTGTTTATTAATGATATGTTAATGTTTATAATATTTAAGATATAGTGATGTACAGTAATTAATACATAAAAGTTTCTATTGTTATTAATATCACGGTGAACACTACACGTAAATATATTTTATGCAAATCTAATATTTAATACTTTAGTACTTTGTATCAGTCATCATTTATTATTATTTTTATTATTCATTCGTTTTAAACTTACTTTTTCATTATAGTACTATTTCTCTCGCTTATTTTGTATCAGTCATTCTTTATATATGATTTTTCTTAGTCATACATTTAAAAAAACATAAACATTTATTGAAAACTATCAACCTTTTTCAATATACGATTAAAATACAGGTTGTTCGCTATGATAAAGTATTTGAGAATAATTTTATTAAGTTATATTTCTTTAAGATAAGGTAATTTGAAGCTACTTATAAACGATATACTTTTACAATAAATCTACTTTTACAATAAAATATTAATTAAAACACATAATCTGATTATTATAAACTTTATAAAACTACAAAGATTATCAACGTGAGACTTCTAAATTTTATTACTTTAAATAAATAAGATGTGCTTTCATATAGCAAGTTGAACAAATGCATTAAGAAAAGTAATTTAATTAATAAACTATAAATATTATCAATTTGAAACTCATAAACTTTTTTTTCTTTAAATAAATATAACATGTGCTTTCATTGAGCAAATTGAACAAATAGCATTCATTTAGAATAATACATTTTAACCAAATACTTTTAATAATATGCTTGCTTGAAATTCCAAAAAAAAATTGAAAATCAAGTATTTTAATTTGAGAAAATTCAAAGTGTCAGAAATTACAAAATAAACTGGAAACTTCATAAGTACGTAATATTTACACAGCAGTTTCCATATTTAAAGACTCATAAGTAGTTTCATCAGCTGACTCATCAATCACTTCATTATCATTACATCTCTGTTTCTTTGGAGGAATGTTTTCATCATTAAATGCAGAGCGTTTTAATGGTTTGTTAGTCTTTGAAACCATTTTTTCAGGTAATGGATACTCTTCGGTCAATATTTTTATGAATGACATATGTTGACATACTACAACTATTTTTGGACCTGACAATACAAAAGACTATTAATTGTTGTTCATATTAAATTAAACAAAATAATTACGTTGCATGTATTGTAACGGGGTAAAACCGTTTAATTATTTTATTCTCGCGATTATACTAAAAGGACGCGCGTAATTATTTATGCTCAATACATGAATCGGAGAGCATGTGGAAACGTGCGTCAGTCAACCAGTAAGTCCTCTAATCTGGGAAAAGTGAGTGGAAGCCATACGAAAAGAGCGAGTCAAAATTACTTGTTAATAACACGGACGGAGCCTTTTATTATCATTCAAGTACTACACAAGTCGGCTCGCGCGTTTGTTTACATTGACGCTCGCTCATCGACAACACGCTTTGCCGGTACGCTCGCTGCTCTTTGTTATTAGAGCCGATATACGCACGCTTCGAATATCGAAAATTGATTATCAATCATGCAACCGCGATCGCGAAATTAAGCTGGTCAGCTTACCTTATTATTGCAGGCGATCGAAGGAAACACAAATAACTCGCACAGAGCGGAACAGTTTTGAATGTTTATCGCCGGTCGCGAACACGCGCACGCAATTAAGGTTTCGCCCTCGATGGCGAAACCTCCCACACACTCTCTTGATCTGGCTCCGAACTGGCAATCGTCTGGCACCTTGGCGGCAACGATTGTAGATGGCTGGATGTTGCTGTTTTGGATATTCCACTGGTGATTTAATTCAAGCGGCACTCGGATTGACAACGGCGAAGTAGCAAAGGCAAACGGGCGTGTTGACGGTTGACGCTTCACTAGTACGGTTTCAATCGCGCGCGTTCCGTCTGCTCGCGTGCCGAATTCCTTAGTTACGAATTTCGTCCCCCCGGCAGGTGCTGCCCTCACAGGCAGCAATTAAGCTAAATAATCAGCGCTAATTTGACGTTTACCGTCACAGTATGTGTATAATAATAATTAAAAATTATTAGTACCAGCAATAAATAAATAATATTACAATATATACATATATGTATAAGTTGAAATATACCTGAATTGTATATATGGCCTCTGATTAAAATACAACTACCCTTTTTCAAATCGATAGTATCGACATCTACGCAAGAAGCAATTTGTAAATTAACTTTATGAACCCCCTCGGTTATAGTACCGGAGCAAAAAGTCATGGTTCCAGATTTACTTGATACAGTGTAACGGTCCTATTTATGAGCTGTTTATTAAATCACTGCAACTAGTCTAACGTATTTATCTGTTTAGTCAAAACAATACATTAAGCGGCGCTACCTCACTGTTTACGCGACTGTATACAAATAAGAGTCGAGTCAAAACAAACAGCGTGATGTCACAAATAATAGACATAGATATAATGATCCATAATGTTGAGAAAAATATGTTAATTATAGATAATTTGAATATAACAAAGTATCGATTATATAGATTTTAACATGCAGATCCACAATATCTCATTCAATTATAAATTAATAATGAATATCAATATGTAAAGTTAATTTATTTATTAACATATGAAATATTAGAAAAATATAAATAATTTATATGTAAAATGAATAAGCATAGAACATGAGTAAGAATTGGTTTCATTAATAACAGCTAAATAACAACTGTTATTAATAAATAAACAATTAATAATTTATTTAAACAATAAGCTATATATAAAACGAAAATATTAAGTTAATACTTGATAATGATAATTTTATGATTTAGAAATCTTAGATAACTAATCTGATAATCGCATATTAAGATTAGAAGAAAACCGTTACAAATATGAAAAATTAGTCTTAATTCAAATGTTATTAATTAATTTAAATAATTAGTTTTGGAAAATACTTCCAAAATTAATCAACTATAAAGTTATATGTAATTTTAATAAATTTCTATTGTAAATAATGTAATATCACGTTAATTAACTTTATTAGTTAATAACTTTTGACGACACTATTGGCGATAATTGTACATTGTATAAAATCAACAAATAACTAATTCTGTAAAATTTACATGTGTTAAAAACTTAATATTAATGGTTATTTACTTGTAAATTAAGAAAAATCATTTCTCAAAATTCGCGAATGTCTCTCGAATTTTCGATGAAATCTCTCCTGCAATAATAAGCGCGAAAATCTGTGTATAAATAGGCCCACCTTTGCACAGGCTAGAATCATTCACTTCTAGCCTTGCAAAGTGAGCGCATGAGTCTGAATAAACTTGGATTAATACCTAAGTTCTTTCTCTCATTGTGATTAACTAAGCAAGACTAACCTTTCCTTATAATTTGAGCTCGACTTATAGAACATCTCGCGCTATAAGAAACTTGGGCCGAATTATATCCTATCAAAGAAATACTTTAGCTCTGCTTATGGGACAATTCGCACCATAAGAAACTAGGGCATTGTCTGACTTTCCTCGATATATTGCAATTACTTATGTGTATTTGATTTACTTATTTATTATATTTGATTCATTTATCTATTTTCTTGACAATTAGAGTAAAATCATCGGAAACAAATTCTTACTCATTAGCTAGATTACGAGAGTTCGAATTATTTTTATTTATAAGTGATACGAACATCACAACAGCGCTAGGAACAATTTTGATATAAGCTTGAACAACTCTAAAAAAGGAAAATAATTTTATTATAATAAGAAAATAAAAAAAAAAAAATTTAAGAATTTACAAAAACATTTTTGAAAATCAAGTACTTTAAGCTGAACAAAATTAACAATACAGTATTATTAATGTTTACTAAATATATAAATTATTTGTTTTGTTCAAGTTATATTTGTTGTGAATTATTTTAATGTAATTTATAAATTTGTCTTAACATTAAACAAATAAGACATGCTTTCATTGAGCAAGTTGAACAAATAGCATGTATGAAAAATAATAATAAATTTTAACAAAATAATTTTCAAATAAGAAAAATCTTAATTTGATTGAAATCCCAAAAAAAAATAAATTAAAAATCAAGTATTTCAAGCTGAGAAATATAAAAATGTCATGAATTATAAAATGAATAACAAATATGATACAACTCACTTATTTCTTCTACAGCTTTAGTGAGCTCAACAAATAGGTGTTACAGGTATTTCTGGTTTTTTGTTAGTTTTAAGAACTTCTAAACAGCTGACTTTGGTGTTTTTTTGTACAATGATCTCATAATTCATCACATTCATGTATCTGTAAAATTTTCTTTGCTGGACCACTTGTCTTTGAGCGTCATCAAGAGACAAAATCTGAAAAAAGATGTAAATCATAATATAAAATTAAATTTAAACAATAAAAATAATTTCACTACATATATTTCCTGAAACAAGCTTGTCACCAAGTTTTTTAACAATAGATTGGTCCCATATTAAAAGATTGAGTTTCATT